AGCGTTATGGCACCACCTGGTGGAGAAGATCCGTAATCACTGCAGAAGTCATAATGAAACTGCTCCACATTGTGTTTTTATGAAGTGTTTGCAATCATCAGACGTGGCTGTTTTAACAGTACAGCATTTAATAAAAACAATGTCAGGTGTATCGCGTGTAAAAACAGCCAGTGAGCAGCCCATCGCATGACTAATCTGTAAACTAGTAAAGCAACACTGGTGTTGACACAGAAGAATCTGTTGACTTTTACCCTTTAAAACAACTCCACACCCTAGATGATCCAACCGGGAACATTAAACATTACCTACAGTATGTTGTTACACTTCCAGGAGGGGTTGGCATGGGTTGGCACCAGCTGCCACATCAGTTCAAATGCTGTCAAACTGAACACATTCATTTAAAAACTGAAATTAACATAATTTAATGATCTGTTATGGCCACTTTTGAGACTAAATGGATTAAGGTCAATGAAAAAAGACATGTATTTAAAAAAAATGTTTTTCATGATTTGTAAATGAAACAACTAATTTACTTTAGATGTGAGTTAATATGTGTGATTGTTTGCAATTAAATCAGAATGTATTTCTTTAGATCTCTCTAGATATTAAAGCTTGTTTACTATGCTATTATATTGGTTAATACACTATGCACTACTACTAAAATAACCTAATTCTAGATTTATATTCCCATGCAGGGACATTCAAGTGTCGGCAGGAGGAACAAAAGAACAGATGCACAGACAAGTGACTTTAAAAAAAATTAAATACTATAAAAAAACTAACATAAGTACTACATACCAATATAAATACTAACTTTAAGTGTATTGAGACAAAAATAGTCACTATACATATACAGTATATTTATAGTCTTGGTTCTGATAGAAAGGTGTCAGAACACACAGTGCATCACAGTTTGTCCACCAGGGTGCCCCAGGTGCTCATAATGTTATAGCTGATGGTGCGTGTGTATGTATTGAATGTTGTCCAGCAGTCGGCGCCATTGTTCATCAACATCCTCCCACATCCCTTCTCTGTGTATGAAGGTTTACTGTAAATGATTCCTCTGCAGCGAAACTAAAAGCTTTGAGGGAACACAAGATGTACGTGTGTGTGAAGAGGGGGAAGAGTTTATAGTCACATGTCCAGGAGGTGCTCACTCTCTCACCATTTACCTTGCATGAAGTTTTTATATTTAAAAAATATGTGTTTGTTTGTGATCATGTGGAGACCTTATCAATGCTAAGTGAAACATTTCTATTCTGCCCTTAGGTTAGTTTATAACATCACGTTACCCTCTGGTGGATTCAGTAGTACACACTATGCAGGTTACAGGTTAGGCCTTTAGCATGTAATGGACTTAAATATATTTTATTTGAATGCAATCTTCCTAAATCCTACATTGTAAATACAGTAACTATAAAGAAAAGTTTCACAGTTGGTCTTATGATAGTCACTTTCCATAAGCTTCACCCAGTTATTAGCACTTTCCTAGTCTTTGTTGTAGCTGCATTTCCGTTTCTTCTTAGTAGTTTCCATTATTCCGCCTAAATCTGCACAGCTTGTCACTTTGTGGTAACGTAGCAAATATGCATGGTTAACCTGCACTTGACCCACGTGTTTGCAGTTTGAATGACATCAAACACTCCCCCGCCCCTGCCTTCTTCACAGCCATTGGTTAAAAAAACAACAGATTTTTAGAAAAGAGTCGGTCTTGCAGTGATTTTAAGATTTTTAACTCAGTAATTGAACTGTGTTGGAAAAACATATCAGACACAAATTATCATTCTGTGATTATGTCTTTAAACATGAGCTTTAAATTTGACCTGCACTGGATTTTGCCAAATTGTATTGATGCTTGTCCCAGATGTCACAAGCTGTGAAATAACACTAACCACTAAAAGTGCTCTGTGTGTGTGTGTGTGTGGGTGGGTGTGTGCACGCAGTGCCTTTCTCCTGTCTTTTTGACATTGGCAGTATAAACTACCTGACTGGTGCGGTCGATTGACCCTGTGTATATGGAAGGCGTTTACAGGATGAGAGGGGGGCCAAAGTGCTGGATCAGTGAAAACTGAGAAGACCCGTATTCCATCACTGCCTGCCTGGACGTCTTCACGCAAGACACAAGACTTGAAAACAACATCCTAATCTAAGAAACCTCTAGGAATGTGTGCAGCAAAATAAAATACTGTAACCTGTCAGACTGAGAGATAAGTTCAGATAATTATCTAACATATTCATATTTTTCTTCTCGGTGTGTAATGCAGTTTCAGCATGAGATATAATGGAGTATCCCATTTCATTCATTTCTGCCTATAGAGCGAACAAATCTTGCTGAACATTGAGCCTGAGGGGCCACATTTGCTTTGCACATTTTTAAATAACTGGGTCGAGAACATACTGAGCCTCTGAAAGGATAACAACATATGCATACAGTTAAATTCTAACAGAAATAGACCAGTCAGCCAATCAGTTTGGGCACAAATTCAAGAAGGCCGATGCAAACTCACAGATGATCCATCATGCATTCAAATTCAAAAATAGAAATCCGAGACAAAAAAAAAAGCCTCAGAAATTCGCGGTGACTGGGCTGTGTGAAAAGTGCAGGTCTTGCATAATTTATTAAGAAAGCTGAAATCTATCCACCCGTGTGTCCGTGAGTGTATGGCTTTGTGTACAGTCATTGATCATGCCGTGAACCCACAAACTAGAGATTTTACAGCGCAGATGCCGCCGGAGCTTCGCATCCAAATGAAGCGTTGAGTTGCAGCCGAGCCGTTTTTTCTCTCGTGTTGTGAAAATGTTTGGACGAGGCGCGGTGCTCTGCCTTTAGTTGATGCCTTTACTGTATACAAACCAAAACAAAACTGTGGCTTTTTTTTTTTCCCCCACCCAAGTTGGGCTGAGGTGACCGAGACCCCCGTTAACTGCGGATGTCCCTGACCAATTCAAGCGTCTTTCTGCTCAACGAGGTGGGTTATTGTCAGTTTTATCTCTTCTTTTTGGATCTCTCCGAGGGTGGCCGAGGCGATTGAATTGGATTTTGAGTGTGCTGTATGAAGCTGCATGCGTCGTGTAGCCCTTTATTACTGTAGCCTTCAGACATAAACAAGCAGCGAAGGTAGAAGCAGGTCCTCGGTGGGATACCGATAATTAAATTAGACAGGCTGACCTCACTGGGAATCTTTCACTTCGGAGTATAGGAGTCTCAGCATGCATCGACACTGTCAGTCTGCCAGCAGAAATTAGACACAGATGAGCAGGGCTGCAGGGGCATTTAAAACGTTCATGATAAACATTTGGAGCAAAAGAACCCCCTCCAAAAAAAAACTAACTAACTGGTCATCTGGAGCAACAGATGAAAACAGTCATCCAGCTCTGTGGGGGCTGTTCATGCTTCCACCTTATCATTTATTAGGTCATGGGAGAAATAATTAATTTTTTGCTCCAGGAGAAGCCACAGTAATTGCATTTGGGCTATAATAATAATCATTTGGTCACATATCACACATGCAGTGAGTGTCTTTTCTCATATTTAAATTAGAAAACATCCATATTTCACTATTCCTTATCCACTGGAAACAAATAATAACAATAAGTCTCCTTGATTGCTTTACTTACTGTAATGTCTGTATATGTGAGGCTGACTTGTATTTTCCCAGTCTGAACTTGCATGCTTATGAGGTTTACGTTATGACAATTACAATATTCTTACTGTAACCTATATTCTCAGTACACTTTGCAGTGAAGGCAATGCCACAGTCAGAGCGACAATCTAAAGAAACAAATGAAAGGCTTTGAGTTGGGGAAATACTAAATATGAAAGTTCCCTCTGTAACAATGTTGCATGTAGCAACTGATGATGTAACAGCTGGGGATGATATTGCAATATGCATGCACATAGTGCAATAATATATTCATCTAAATGAGTCAGAATTGTAATCCCAATATGTTTACAAATGTAATAATTCTCTCATGTAATCCACTATTAGCTGGTGAACAGAGTACAGAGAATTATATTATTATTATGGGGGGAAGTGTGATGAAATAACAGTGCAATAATTCACCAAAAAGTCACAAAACCTTTCATCTTTCTTCTTTTTTTTTAGGTTGTTTTGTCTTTTTTGTGTTTTGCCAGTTTTTTCAATCAAAGGTTACCATCACACTCTCTTTCCTTGAGGTTTATGAAAAAGGGAGAGAGAGATTCTGTATTTTCCAGAATGAACAACCGTTTTCTGAAGGTTGACAAACTGTGGCTCACTGATGAGATAATCCATGATCCAGGACACCTTTGGGGCGTCCATCTGTATCTCCATCAGCTCATTTCCCACCCAGAGTGCCTGGACTGCGTTAAAGGTGCTCGAAAAGTCAAAACACTTGATTTTGGCCGTGCTGCTAGCTAGAAAAAGATCCTCTAGAGAAGCTAGATAATTGCACAATTTGCTTCAGTATGTGTCTGGTATAGGCAAACGGCAGGGGGTCTAGTCTAGTCTCCCAGCACTAGATTTATCCTGTGTGCTGGAGTGCTAAAAGTCTCTCCATCATCTTGTTGAAGCAGGTTTTGCACAAATTAAACGTCTCTCTCCTCTTGAGTTTGGAGTTTGGCCCTAACATACGTATAGTGAGGTATGAGAAACTTAATTTTGTTTCTTTCT